GGTCATGATCCTGGAGTCCCGGGATCAAGTCCCACATCGGGCTCCCTGCTCTGCGGGGAGTCTGCTTCTCCCTCTGACCCTCTTTCCTCTTGTGCTCTCTATCTCTCATTCTCTCTCTCTCAAATAAATAAATAAATAAATAAATAAAATAAGCTACCTTAAATTCCATTTTTAAGTGAATAAAAATATAGGTGGCGCTCAGATTTGACATGAAACTCATATGACTGAAGTTTGGGCAACACTGGCCCTATGGTAGTGGGGAATGTGACTATTTATAGACTTGAATTTATCTGTAGTGGCTGACTGCAGTGTGGATTGTTTATTCAGCATAGCGTTTTTCCTTACTTAAGATAATACTTTTTGAGTCCATGGATAGGAGAGATGTAGACAGAATCTTAGTGAAACATTACGGTTTGATGGGAAAATCCAGTCATCTAATGTTAGATTTAGAAGAGATCTTGGCAATTGTTCTGACTCACCATCCACTTTAAGGATGAGCAAATAGAAACCCGCAGAGGTTTAAGTAGGTTTTCCTCTTACATAAATAGCAGGCTCTAGATGATCTTTGAAGTGCATTTGACCTTTTCTTTCTTCTTTTTTTAAGATTTATTTATTTACTTGAGGGGGGATACGAGCAGAGGGAGAGAAAATTCCAAGCAGATTCTGTGTTCATGCAGGGCTCGATCCCATGACCCTGAGATCACAACCTCAGTCAAAACCAAGAGTCAGACGGTCAACTGACTGCGCCACCTAGGCACCCCAGACCTTTCATTTCTTTTGAGGATATGGGTTTAATTATTTGGTCAGCCTAGGCTTAAATTTACTCTCATTATTTTTCTTTAAAAAATAAATTCATGAAATAGCATTTCATGATAAATGCTAATTTAGCATCGCCTCCAACTCCAGCAAAATATGATAAAGACCATAAGCCTTGTGAGTGGAGAAATGATAATTAATAAAGAAAATGTGTATATACCAGGTAAGCTTTCACCAGCAGAGTTTGACCATAATTTCTTGCTGCTTTAAAGTATTCGTCTGCATAATACACACACACGTTTTATATATATATATATATATGCATAAGTATGTATATTATATATAATGTTAATTCTTTTTCTTATTTTTAATTGAGGTATAGTTGACATACAATATTATATTAGTTTCAGATGTGCAACATAGTGATCTGACAATTATATACATTACGATATACTCACCGTTATAAGTGTAGTTACCATCAGTCACAATAAAGAGTTACTACAATATTTTTGGCCCTCTTCCCTATGTAGTACTTGTCATTCCCATAACTTATTTATTTTATAACTAGAAGTTTGTACCTCTTAATCTCCTTTCACCTACTTCACCTATTCTCCATGATTTCCCTCCCCTCTGGCAACCACCGGTTTGTTCTCTGTATTCATGAGTGTTTTTCTGTTTGTTTGTTCATTTGTTTTGTTTTTTAGTTTACACATATAAGTAAAATCATATAGTATTTGCCATTCTCTGTCTGACTTATTTCACTTTGCATAATGCCCACTAGGTTCATCCACGTTGTTAGGAATGGCAAGATTTCATTCTTTTTTTAAGGCTGAGTAATATTCACTGTGTGTGTGTATGTGTGTGTGTGTGTGTGTGTGTGTGTACCACATCTTCTTTATCCATTCGCCTATCAGTGGACACTTAGGTTGCTTCCATATCTTGGCTATTACAATAATACTGCAATAAACATAGGGGTGCATAAATCTTGTTGAATTGGTGTTTTCATTTTCTTTAGGTAGATACCCAGAATTAGGATTACTGAATTATATAGTATTTCTAGTATTTTAATTTTTAATTTCTTGAGGATATTCCGTATTTTTTTCCATGGTAGCTATACCAATTTCTATTCCCCCCAACAGTACACAAGGGTTCCCTTTTCTCTACATCCTCACCAACACTTGTTATTTCTTATCTTTTCATTACTAGCCATTCTGACCAGCGTGAGGTAATATCTCATTGTGGTTTTGCTTTGCATTACCTTGATGATTAATGATGTTGAGCATCTTTCCATGTTTCTGTTGCCCATCTGTATGTCTTCTTTTTTTAAAAATTTTTTATTGTTATGTTAATCACCATACATTACATCATTTGTTTTTGATGTAGAGTTCCATGATTCATTGTTTATGTATAACACCCAGTGCTCCATGCAGAACATGCCCTCTTTAATATCATCACCAGGCTAACCCATCCCCCCACCCCCCTCCCCTCTAGAACCCTTATTTTGTTTTTCAGAGTCCATCGTCTCTCATGGTTC